ATTGTGAAATCATTTCCTGAAAATTTCTAACTATCTAAAGACCTGTTCTTCCAGTTTCTTTGGAGCACTGAATGTCTCACTCTCCACACTGAACTCCCTTCAATTCAGTTCAGTTCAGTTGCTCAGTTGTGTCCAGCTCTTTGCAACCCCATGGACTGCAGCACGCCAGGCCTCCCTGTCCATCACCAACTCCCGGAACCCACTCAAACTCATGTCCATTGAGTCGATGAGGTGGTGCCATCCAACCACCTCATCCTCTGTCGTCCCCTTCTCGTCTTGACCTCGATCTTTCCCAGCCTCGATCTTTCCCAGTCGTTTCAAATGAGTCAGCTCTTCACATCAGGTGGCCGAATTATTGGAGTTTCAGCTTCAGCATCAGTCCTTCCAATGAATATTTAGGACTGATCTCCTTTAGGATGGACTGGTTGGATCTCCTTGCAGTCCAGGGGACTCTCAAGAGTCTTCTCCAACACCACAGTTCAAAAGCATCAATTCTTCGGCACTCAGGTTTCTTTATAGTCCGAGTCTCACATCCATACATGACTACTGGAAAAACCATAGCCTTGACTAGACGGACCTTTGTTGGCAAAGTAATGTCTCTACTTTTTAATAGCTGTCTAGGTTGGTCATAACTTTCTTCCAAGGAGTAAGCGTCTTTTAGTTTCGTTTTTCAGGGTGTGTCAAACATTGGCAATTGCAGCAGCACAGGATTCAGTCTCTGCAGAGGCAACAGCAAATGCCCTTAGCAAGCTCCAATTTGCAGTTGACACTTTCTGTGTTTCTGTCTCTATTCTGTAGGTTGCAGCATTGTAAATTGTAGGCTGCAGGATAGTAGGTGGGTAAAGCTGATCTAGAGGGTTATGTGGGCTTCCTGGTTAGAGATACTGGTACCTGCCCACTGGTGGTTGGAGCTGGGTCTTATTCTTCTGCTGGGTAGGGCTGTGTCAAAAGATGTGTTTAAGAGGTGGTTGTGGGCTCAAGAAAATTTTTGGCAACTTGTCTGCTGATGGGTGGGTCTGTGTTCCCTCCCTGTTGGTTATTTGGCCTGAGGTGTCCCAGCCCTGGAGCCAGAGGCTGTTGGGTGTGGCCGGGTCTTGATGTCTCCAGGAGAGCTCACACCAGGGGGGTGGTACCTCTGCCACCAGGGTTTTTATCCCTGCAATGAGCCAGAGCCCTCCCTACCCCCACAAACACGTGTTGCCTTTGCAGGATACCCTCCAAGACCAGCAGGTAGGCCTAACATCGGCTCCTGTGAAGTCACCACATTCCTGGGTCTTGGTGTGCATGAAAGCTTGTGAGTCCCCTCCAAACTGGAGTTTCTGTTTCTCCTAGTCCTCTGAAATTCCTGCAGTCAAACTCTGCTGGCCTTCAAAGCCAAATGCTCTGGGTTTCTCTTCCTGATGCCAGGCTTGCAGACAGGGGAGCCTTACTGGGGCTCAGAACTCTCAGTCCTGTGGGAGAGATTCTGTGATGTATTTTCCAGTTTGTGGGTTGCCCATCCAGTTGGAATGGGATTTGATTGTGTTGCAGATGCACTCTTCCTACTGTCTCATTGTGGCTTCTTGTGGCTTCTTCTTTGTCTTTGGATGTAGAATATCTTCTTTGTTGGTTGTTGTTCAGCAGTTGGTGGTGATTTTGGTGTTTCTTGAGAGTAGTTTGTTGTTGCTGTGAGAGGAGGTGAGCTGAAGTCCTTCTACTCTACCGTCTTGTCTCTCTCAAGAGTTAAGTACATAAATACAAAGAATGTGCTGTAACATATGGTGGATTTCATTAAAGACAGTTTCATTAACCTGTTTACCTTTTTCCATACTTTGGATCATTTTCTTAGGATGAACTTTTCAAAGAATAAATATTGGGGTAAAAGTTGTGAACATTTTTATCTTTCTTAAAAGATGGTTTACAAAATTGCTTTTTAAAATAGGTCCAGCCAATTTGTATTATGAATATTTTATGAGAGGAAGTTGTATCACAGTGTTATTACTGTATTATACTTTGGTTTTGAAATATTTTTGATACTTTAATAGAAGAAAAGTGAAACTTCATATAGTTCTGTTACTAAGTTGAATGCTTTTTCCTTTTTATCAGTACCTTTAGAATTGAATATTTAATATTATGTTGATGATTTTAAAGATTTGAAAAACCTGTATGCAGGTCAAGAAGCAACAATTAGAACCAGACATGGAACAACAGACTGGTTCAAAATTGGGAAAGGGGTATGTCAAGGCTGTCTGTTGTCACCCTGCTTATTTAATGTATATGCAAGGTACATCATGCGAAATGCTGGCTGGATGAATCACAAGTTAGAATAATGATTGCTGGGAGAAATATCAACAACCTCAGATATGCAGATGATGCCACTCTAATGGCAGAAAATGAAGAAAAACTAGAGTCTCTTGTTGTTCAGTCACTAAGTTGTGTCTGACTCTTTGAGACCCCATGATCTATAGCCCACCAGGCTTCCCTGTCCTTCACCATCTCCCTGAGTTTGCTCAAATTCATGTCCATTGAGTCAGTGATGCCATCCAACCATCTTATCCTCTGTCACCCCCTTCTCCTCTTGCCCTTAATCTTTCCCAGCATTGGTGTTCTTTTCCACTGGAAGGACTGATGCTGAAGCTCCAATATTTTCACCACCTGATGCAAAGAGATGATTCATTGGAAAAGACCCTGGTGCTGGAAGAGATTGAGGGCAGGAAGAGAAGGGGGCAACCGGAGATGAGATGGTTGGATGGTATCACTGACTCAATGGACATGAATTTGAGCAAACTCAGGGAGATAGTGGAGAACAGGGAAGCCTGGTGTACTGCAGTGCATGGGGTCACAAAGAGTTAGACATGATTGAGTGGCTGAACAACAACAGCAAAGCAAAATTGAAACTTTTACCTTTTCTGTCTATGTGATCCCTCCAGAGATTGGAAACTTCTAGGTTTCCAGTAGCTTAACAAATAAGTTAGAAAAACTGCCTTGCTATATCAAGATGAGGGACATAAAAGCCTGGTATGCTACAACCCATGGGGTCACAAAGAGTCAGACATGACTTGGGCACTGAACAACAAGGCTAATTATATATCTTACACAGCTAACAAGAGCAGTTAATTAGGAATTGTGCCACTGTTGTTGCTAAAGGACTTTTAGTACTTTTCCATCTTAAAATGTAATCAAAATGACATTACTATATTTCACTTCTAGCTTGGTACCTTTTATTGTACTTCAGGTATTAATGCAGCTGTGGGCTGGAATACTGAAGCTATTGAATATTGATTAGAAATTGAGCAAATTCGTATTAAGTATGACTGACATGTCAGTGTGACTTTGCTCAGAAAGAATTGTTTTGATGAGAAGATTCCTATCTTTATTCTCAGATGAACTGAGGGAATACTGATCCTTCAGTATTAATCAAAACTTAATCACATCAGAAATTCCAATGAGTAAATATAAACTTGATGTGGCTACTTCTGTTAGATAAAATCTACTTATATACATATCTCCTCTCAATTGTAGAGATTGGGTTAAGAAGTATCTGGAGGTAATCATTAGTGATTTAACTTTAACCTCCAATTCCTTCCCTAGTTTCTGTGTGCACATTGCATGTGCATGTGTGCGCTTTCTCTCTTTCATGTCTCTGTCTCAGTCACTCCCTCTGTATATGGTATCTTTAGAACAGCAGAGTTGTGCACAAAACAATAGCAAAACTAGAGAAAAGACAGGCAGTCCTAACCCACAAACACTTGCCACAGAACCAGACATATACATAAGGCATGTTAAGCTTCACCTGCTTGGGGAGATTAAAGGATGCTGTTAACTGTCTTCAGTGTTGTCGTTGCCATAGAATGGTTTGATTATACTAAAAGTTTTAATTCAGTTGCATTTTACAAATTTTAAATGCAGCACTTTATTCTTGTCAGTTCAGTTTAGTTCAGTTACTCAAATGTGTCCGACTTTTTGCAACACCATGGACTGTAGCATGCCAGGCTTCCCTGTCCATCACCAATTCCCGGAGCTTGCTCAAACTCATTTCCATCAGTGATGCCATCCAGCCATCTCATCCTTTGTTGTCCCCTTCTCTTCTTGCATTCAATCTTTCTCAGCATCAAGGTCTTTTCTAATGAGTCAGTTCTTCACATCAGGTAGCCAAAGTATTGGACTTCAGCGTCAGTATCACTCCTTCCAAAGAATATTCAGGATCGGTTTCTTTTAGGATTGACTAGTTTGATCTCCTTGCTGTCCAAGGGACTCTCAAGAATCTCCTCCAACACTACAGCTCAAAAGCATCAATTCTTTGGTGCTCAGCTTTCTTGAGATACATATATATTTAGCAGAACAAGAATCAATAGATTTAAAAAATGAAATGTTATTTAACTTTATTTAGGGTGATTTTATTTTATGATGGTGCAAGTAATACATCTTGAAAACTGTAAAGAAGCAGAAAAAAATAAGCCATCCTCATGACATCTGGGCCATTACTAAATAGTTTATATCCTAATAAGAGATACTTTGAACATACTGCTTGTAGATTCCCCCAGAAAACTAAATGTCTACATTTGTGTCATAATTTCCATTTCAAAATGTGTGATATTGGACTTCCGTGGCAGTCAGTGGTTAAGACTCCATGCTTCCACTGCAAGGGGTGCAGGTTTGATCCCTGGTCAGGGAACTAAGATCCTACATGCCATGTGGTGTGGCAAATAAAATAAGATAAAAAATAAAATATTACAAAAAGATATTACAAAAAAATTTAAGATTCTCAATGGTGAGCAATTAGATGCTAATTAGAACTTCTCATTTCCACCAGTGTTATTTTTATTCTAGTCATTTGTTTCCATTCACTAATTTGAATTCTGTCTGATATCTGTTAAGATAAATGCTGCTCTGTAAGCGATTTTGTACTGGCTGTAAGAACTGATAATATCATAGACTTGGACCCTTTCACAATGAATATGAAATCTGCCTAATAATTCTATGGCATTTAAAGATGTTTTGAAATTCTTTATCTCTTACAGATTGGCTGTGATCATAGCCAAAACCTTGTGGACATTTGTAGAGAGAGGCAGTATCAGGCCTTTGTCTGTGATGCTTTGGCAGTACCAATCCGCAGTGGATCTTGTGACGCTTGCATTTCCATTGCTGTTATTCACCATTTTGCTACAGCAGTAAGTATTGTCTTTCTTGCTCCAAAAACTTATAACCAAGTGGCAGGAAGGAGGAAAAAGATGGTGGAGTAGGTGGACATGGAGTACATCTCTCTTCATGGATACATCAGGAATACACTTTCCGACACAGAAGTGCTTGCAGAACACCTGCTGAGAGCGGACAGAGAACCTGACCACCAGAAAAGAATATATAGAACCAGGCAGAACTCCGTGGGATGAGGAGCTAGGGGGAAAATCAGGAGTCAGCAGGTGGGGGAACTGAAGCAGGGGTCCAATCCCTACATCAGGGCAATTGCTAGGTCAGAGGAGAAACATTTAAGGCTGAGAGTGAAGCAGCTGATCTGTGGCAGCCTAAATGGAACGAGAATCAGACAGTCCTTGCTGCAGTCACATGTACCCCGGACAGGGACACAGGTCCCCTAGAAGCTGCAGCAGCAGGGAGCTGGAATGTAGGGGTTCTGGAGCAATCCCAGAGTAAGGACTGCTGTTGATTGCGTAGAGATGGACCGAGGGGACGTGAAGGAGGAGACTGTGGTGGGACATGCCGGTGGAGGAAAGCCAGATAGTCATGGAAGCAAGACGATACTGCTGAGTCATGCATAGTGGATCAATCACCATAGCCTCTCTCTCCCCGTACCCCAGCATTGGTAGCTGAACAATAGAGCGGCTGGCCCGTCAAGCACCTGATGCGCAGAACAACAGATAGGACCCCACCCAGGGTGCCCCTCTAAGTGCCTGACATGCTGATCTACAGAGTAGGACCCCAGTTGGAGGGCCCATCTATGTGCCTGATGCGCCAAACAACAGAGAAGGACCCCAGGCAAGGGAGCCCTCTAAGTGCCTGAAGGGGTGGAGCTATGGAGAAAGACTCGCCAAAGAGGCCTTCTGATTGCCAGCTACTACAGGCTTGAACAAAGACTGATAGGGCCATAACTTCTGCGGCTGAGGCCGTCTGTGTCCCTGCACACTTGGTGCATCAGGGTCCCCTCGATCCAGGCAGCCACGCCTCCTTCACACTTAACCCTCCCTGGGGCAGGGCTTCCACAGGCAAGAAAAGTCTTGTGTCTATGCACATGGGTTCTCTTCAGTTGTGTCCAACTCTTTGCAGCCGTGTGGACTGTGGCCTGCCAGGCTTCTCTGTCAAGGAGGGGGTTCTCCAGGCAAGAATACTGGAGTGTATTGGCCAATACTGGCTGCCACACCCTTCCAGAGCACTATATTTCCTGCTGCCCTAGCCACCAACCCCCCTGAGAACCTGGTGCTGCCAGAACCCCTGCGACCAAGGCAGCTGCACCCCCTCCACGCCTGGCCCTCACAGGGGCAGACCCAAGTACTCCAGGGCAGCCTCAGGGGCAAACCCCTGGGGACGACCCACATGCAGAGGTGGAAATAAAACCACAATTGAAACCCAGGGGCAGTGTGGCTAAGGAAGAAGACCCAAAACTCCACCAGCTGTACAAGCTGCAGGTTAAATCCACATGATCAACTAGGCAGACTCTGTCTGTGGAATATATGAAAGGACATTGAGAGTGCCCACAAAACAAAACGCACTCATTCTCATGGCTGTGGACATTGGAGGCAAGAACACACAGGAGTAGGACCAGGTTAGAGTCTGAGCTGACCTGCTCAGCAGGTCCAGAGACCAGCACCGTGTTAGAGGGCATCCTAGGGAGGTGAGGTGGACTGTGACTCCCAGTGAGAGAAAGGATGCTGACAACAGAGACTCAAGAAAAACATTTATTATTCTTATATTTTGACTCGTTCTGTAGTTTCTTTTGGCTTTTTTCCCCCTGTGTTGTAGTTGTCGGTTTTATTAGCACTGTGAGATCTAATTAAGCATTTGAGTTTTTTTAAATCACACTTTGCATTGCTGTTATAAACCTCTCCCTCTGCATTGGCCTTTTGCAATGGAGGTGGAGGGTTTCTTTTTTTTTTCTCCTTTTTTATAATTTTAACTTAAATATTTTTTAAACCTGTTATAATTTTTTCTGCATTTATTCCTTTGTTTACATTTCCTACTGTCCTTTTCCCCTTGCAGTTAATCTTTAATATATATAAATCTTTGTCTGCCTCTATTTAACTTTGCGTTTCTGTTCTTTTCTTTCTTTCCTTTCTTTTTCTCACCATATTTGCTTGTTTTGTTTTCATTGCTTTATTCCCCAGTTGACACCTTGCTTTAGTTTTGTTTTCCAGTTTGTGCTTTAATTTTGTTCTTAACTGGCGGATATCATTTTTTATTTTCTTTGTTTGCAGGGTCAGTCTATTGTACTTTTTTTTTTTTTGTTGGACTGTTTTGAGTTTGCTTATGGGTGTATATGTGTATATTCCATTATTTTAATTCTTATTTGCCTAATTTTGTAACTGCACTTGTCTGTGGTTCATCTTTGGTTTCTTGTGTTTGGGTATTTGTTTTAATCTCACTCAATGCCATAACAAACCACCTGTGGAATCTCCATTTCTGGCAAGAGATCAAGCCCTGAGCCTTTGGAGTGGGAGCACTGACTCCAAGACCCTCAACTACCATAGAACTTCTAATCCTACGAAGTATCAAATAGTGAGAATTCCCACAAAGGAAACCACTTGAATACAAGACCCAGCATCACCCAACCACCAGTAGCACCCTGTGCAGGACTCTCATCCAAACAAAAAACAAAACAAAAATACAAATCCAATCATCAGCAGACAGGATTACCACCTCACTCAACCCTGCCCATCAGAGGAAAGAAAGAAAAAAAAAAACTCAGCACAAATTTCACCCTGTAGGAAGCTTACATAAACCACTGGACCAGCCTTAGGAGGGCAGAAACCAAAAGGAAGAAAGAATTCAACCTTGTAGCTAGGCGAAAAGAGACCTCAAACACAGTAAGTTTTAAAAAAAATAATGAAAAGGCAGAGAAATATTGCACAAATGAAGGAATAAACTAGAAACACAGAAGTCCACAAATGAAGAGGGAATAGGCAAACTACCTGAAAAAGAATTCAGATTAATGATAATAAAGATAATCAGAAACCTTGAAAATAGAATGGAGAAAATGCAAGAATCCGTTAACAAAGACCTAGAAGGATTAAAGAATAAATATACAGAGGCAAACAACACAATTAATTAAATTAAAATCACTCTAAGAGGAATCAATAGCAGAATATCTGAAGCAGAAGGATGGGTCATTGAGCTAGAAGATAAAATGGTGGAAATAACTGCTGGAGAGAAGAATAAAGTAAAAGAATGAAAAGAACTGAGGTAGTCTCAGAGACCTCTGGGACAATACTAAGTGTCAGGAAATGTTCATAGATTTTACTGATTTGGACTATGTTTCAGCTTTTCCTTTCTTTCCATGTCATAAAGTGTACCCCAGTTTTTAAAGAAAGCCTGTGGAATGGAGATGAGCTACTTGGGAGTTGTGCTTGCTTAAACACAGGTCTGTTGTGACCCTGCTTTATTGCTGCATATTTCTGCCTTTTTCCTGCTGGAGGCTTACTTATCTTTAACTGTCTTCCTCAGATCCACAGAGTTGCAGAACTTTAGCCATAAGAGACTTTAAGAGATCAGCTGTAGGCCTCTTGAGGATTTGTTCTCTCTTCTCAGCCTCTGAGCTTCTTCTCTATTTCTGTTTCCCATCTTGCTTCCTCAGCTCGTTTTCTCATTCCCAAGATCTCAGTTTCATGTTTTTCCCATTCTATTTTTCTTCTTTTCATATTCTTTTTTTTTTTCCAAAACTCAAGTGTTTGGCAGTGGTATGCTGATGTTTTTAATAAGTCACTATGTTTCTAATTTTAAAATAAGTGAATTTAATATTTTATATTATAGGAAAAAAATCTTATTACTCCTGAGTGTTACTCATTTTCTCCTGATCTAAGCAGTAATACAGATTCCTCTGTGCTGGAGTTACTGGCACCTTATGACCTTAACTGAATTCAAAACAAAACAGAACACCTTCTGTGCCTCTGTATTATTAATGGAAAGAAAAAAATATATTTTCTATTTATCCTCCCCCCCCACCTTGATTGCAGAACACAGTTCTTCTTTTTTCCTTTTTTTTGTTTTATATAAAATTTGTCTTATGTTTGATTTTATGTGCTGTCCATCTTAATTGAAAACAGTCCTGTAGTCAATTATATTTCCCATTTCCTCTCTGTATCTCTTTCTGGCTGATAAATGACAATATGGTTTTGTTTTTTTGTTTTTTTTCCTCTAGGAGCGTAGAGTGGCAGCTCTCCAAGAACTTGTTCGACTCCTAAGACCTGGTGGGAAGGCACTCATCTATGTTTGGGCTATGGAGCAAGAATATAATAAGAAGAAGTCGAAGTATCTTAGAGAAAACAGAACTAGCCAAGGATTGAAAGAGGAAATCAACAATGATACATCAGTGCAAGAGTTGCTTGTGAAGCAGTTGCCTAATGTAGGCAATCAAGATTCAGCACATTCTGTCTCCTCCATAAATGACTTTCAAGATGGAGGATGTAATTCAAGGAACGTTGCTAATTCCAAGTTGCCTATTCACACTAACAGGACTTCTTTTCATTCTCAAGACTTACTGGTTCCCTGGCACTTGAAGGAAAATCCTGGTAAGGACAAGCGTGTGGAGCCATTTGGTCCATTAGGATCCCGTGACCCAGGTCCTGTGTTTCATCGTTATTACCATGTGTTTTGTGAGGGAGAATTGGAAGCTGCCTGCCAGACTTTGAGTAATATCAGCATACTGCAAAGTTACTATGATCAGGGGAACTGGTGTGTAATTCTTCAAAAGGTCTGATTATCTCTATGAATATACTATATACAGGGAAGACGTGCTCAATTTTTTTTTTTAATGAGATTAAATTGCCTATATTTTTTAGTTAAAGAGAAAATGTGTGGAAAAGTATCAAAGGAGAGTGCCTGGGAGAAATTTGAAAGTAGAGACTGGTTAGGATATCTTCAGTCTACTACTGTTGCTGACATCACTTAATCCATGATGGAGGAACAGGGACGGTTTTTAAAAGTAATTGAAGTAGTTCGTGAAATATGTGGGATCTTAGGGTAAGAGTACAGCATTTTGAAGATAAACTTTTGTTATAAAATGTTGCTAAATGAACTAAATGATGTAGAATCTTAATGAAGTAATCACATAACATTTTATCAATAATAAAATGTTCCTGTTCAGTAGAAAATTGTCTGAAATTTTATCTGTGATTGTTAGCTCTGTAAAATCACAGATGATAACCACTCTGTCACTGCACTTTACTAGCACAAGACTTGACACATCATAGGTACTCAGTAAAATTTTAGTCAGTTGGATAGTACCCATACATTAAGGTAGGGGTTTTCATCCAATAAAAACTTACTGAAACTGTACAATGTACCAGTCACTATTTTAAGTTCTGGGAGAGGAACAGTGAGCAAGAAAAATACAAAGTCAATGCCCTCATTGAGCTTATATTCTAGAAGGAAAGACAGACAATAAATGATGCAGGACATGGGTTTGATCCCTGGATCAGGAAAGTCCCCTGGAGAAGGGAATGGCAACCCACTCCAGTATTCTTGCCTAGAAAATTCCATGGCAGAGGAGCCTGGTGGGCTATGTAGTCCATGGGGTCACAAAGGGTCAGACACGACTAGTGACTTCATAGTCGATTAACAAGGTTGTAATAGTTTCAGGTGAACGGTAAAGGGACTCAGCCATCATGTGTCTATATCCATTCTCCCCCAAACCCCTCTGAGGCCCATCCAGGCTAGCACATAACATTGAGCAGAGTTCTGTGTGCTATACAATACATTTTTGTTGGTTATCCATTTCAAGTATAGCGGTGTGTGTACATGACCTTACCAAAGTCCTAACTATCCCTTCCCCCCAGCAACCATGAGTTTGCTTTCTAACTCTGTGAGTCTCTTTCTGTTGTATAAGTTCATTTGTATTATTTCTTTTCAGACTCCACATGTAAGGGTTTTCATATGATATTTCTCCTTCTCTGTCTGACTTCACTCAATATGACACTCTCTAGGTCCATCCATGTTGCTGCAAATGGCCTTATTTCATTCTTTTTAATGGCTGAGTAATATTCTGTTGTATGTATATGTATATATATATATACCACATCTTCTTTACCCATTCCTCTGTCAATGGGGCCTAAAACCTTCACAACAGTGCGAGAACTTCCTTGGTGTTATTGTTCTCCAGTTTGTGAGTCACTTACCCAACAGGTATAGGATTTGATTTTATCGTAATTGTTTCCCTCCTACCATTTTGCTGTGGCTTCTCCTTTGTCCTTGGATGTGGGGTGTCTTTTTTTGATGGGTTCCAGTGTCTTCCTCTCTGCCAGGTGGATTCTTTACACCTGAGCCAGCAGGGAAGCCCTTCAGAAACAGTAGTGATCAATAAATATTAGATGAGATATTGATTACTTTTGTCATGGAATTTCAGTACAAGATTATAAATTTTCCCTTTAAATGAATTTGTAAGGTTCATGATATGAGAAGAAAGAATTATAGGCTAAAAATAGTTTTATTTCTGACATGCATTATAACATTTTACATCACAAATTGAAGCTTCCCTGGTGGCTCAGAAAGTAAGGAGTCTGCCTGTAATGCAGGAGACCTGGGTTTGATCCCTACAGGAGATTCCTGAAGAAGGAAATGGCAATGCACTCCACTGTTCTTGTCTAGGAAATTCCACAGACAAAAGAGCCTGGTGGTCTACAATCCATGAGGTGGCAAAAGAGGCGGACATTACTGACTAACACTTTCGCTTTTTTTTTTTAAACACTTTCACTTTTATTTGAAGTTCAACGTATACTAACAGCTGAGCTATTTAAAATCCTAAGAAATGATTCTGCATGCAGTATTTCAGAAAATTTGGAAAATTCATCAGTGGCCACAGGCCTGGAAAAGATCAGTTTTCATTCCAGTTCCAAAGAAGGGCAATGCCAAGAATATTCCAACTACCATACATTTGTGCTCATTTCACATGCTAGCAAGGTTATGCCCAATATCCTTCAAGTGAGGCTTCAGCAGTATTTGAACTGAGGACTTCCAGATGTACACGCTGGGTTTAGAAAAGGCAGAGAAACCAGAGATCAAATTATCAACATTGGTTGGATCATGCAGAAAGCAAGGAAGTTCCAAAAAATCATCTACTTCTGCTTCATTGACTATACTTCTATATTGACTTCTGTATTGACTACTTCTGCTTCCTTTGACTTTGACTATGTGGATCACAATAAACTGTGAAAATTCTTAAAGAGATGGGACTATCAAACCACCTTACCTGTCTCCTGAGAAAACTTACACAGGTCAAGAAGCAACAGTTAGAACTGTTGCTATACAACAAGGCTATATATTGTCACCCTGCTTATTTAACTTATATGCAGAGTACCTCATGCAAAATGCTGAGCTGGATAATGGACAAACTGAAATTGCCGGGAAAAATACCAACAGCCTCAGGTATGCTGATGCTAACCACTCTAAATGGCAGAAAACAAAGAGGAACTAAAGAGACTCTTGATGAGAGTGAAAAAGCTGGCTTGAAACTCACCATTCAGAAAAGTAAGATCATGACATCTGGTCTCATCACTGTAGCAAATAGAAGGGGAAAAAATGGAAATGTTAACAGACTTTATTTTCATGGGCACTGAAATTAAAGGACACTTGCTCCTTGGAAGGAAAACTATGACAAATCTAGACAGTATATTAAAAGCAGAGACATCACTTTGCTGACAAAGATCTGTATAGTCAAAGCTGTGGTTTTTCCAGTAGTGTATGTACAGATGTGAGAATTGGACCATAAAAAAGTCTAAGTGACAACGAGTTTATGCTTTTGAATTGTGGTGTTGTAGAAGACTCTTGAGAGTCCCTTGGACAGCAGGGAGATCAAACTAGTCAACCTTAAATGAAATCAACCCTGAGTAATTGTTTTAAGGACTGTTGCTGAAGTTCCAATACTTTGGTCACCTGATAGGAAGAACTGACTCGTTGTAAAATACCCTAATGCTAAGAAAGATAGAAGAAAGATAAAAGGAGAAGGAGGTGACAGAAAGAGCTGGTTAGATAGCATCATCAATTCAATGGACATGAATTTAAGGAAACCGCAGGAGACAGAAGACAGAGGATCTTGGCATGCTGCAGTCCATAGGGTGGCAAAGAGTTGGACATGACTTAGCAACTGAACAACAACATGCTAACAAGTTTTAGCATCTAGATGAAATAGATGATTGTCCTTTTTATATTTGAAGACCAAGATAATTATTTTAAATATTTGTATTCACATAAGAAAACTCTTTAAAACAAAGCTTAAAAATTTATATATAGCTTTAAAAATAACTCCTGTTGTGGACCACAGACCACCAGAGAAATTTGGTCAGATTTATACCAGCTTGGCAGTGATTGACATTTCTACCTCTCCACACTAGAAAGGGTAGACTTGTAGGTATCTCAAAGATATCACTAGCAACCTCAAATCCTGATACAAGTTTCATACACTGAAGAACAAGTCTGATACACTGAAGAACAAGTCTGTATAAAAATTTATCTAGCTTATAAGAAATATATATATTTTCCAACAAGGGTTTTCTTACGGTGTTAAAAGCCTGCACTCTTACACATCTTTAGAACACAAAGTTTTGCACAGCTTTTAAGTACCCTCAAGAAAGAGTGGTTGTACAGATCTCTGAAGCAATATATTATATACACCATACTTGAAATATATCTTACATTCAATGAAAGAACACAGGGCTTTCTTCCTTACATTAGGAAAAAATTGGCTATCTTCTCCTTATGTGAAAGTCATGTTTATTTATGTCCCATGAAAGACTTTTCCTTTCAGTCACATTCAGCACACCTAGAGGAGCTCAGTGTCACTTAACAGTGATCAATGCTAGATACACAACTTTATGGAAGCCAACATCACACACATACATGATGCACAAGGAAGGTAAAACTTCCCTTCATAGAAGCAGAAAAACTGCTAAAGAAACTTTATGCTTGGTAATAAGTTCTTCTGCTTACTATGGGGAACACTTCATTGTCCTTGCATTGAAGAAGCCTTGCTCATATATTCTTGTGCAGATTATTGCTTAGAGGATGACTCAAGATAGAAACAGAGTCACAAGCCTATGAAATAAAACTGCTGACTTGATCCGCTTGGTTGAGTTCCATCCCCTGTCCATAAAAGTTCTTTTACCTAGCTTGTGAGAAACATAGTGACTAATGGAAGCAAGACCCTTTGGAGACTCTGAAAGCCTCCCCCACAACCCCTAACCCCTGCTCCCCTCTCTCTTATTTGTCCATTGAACAGAGAGCTCCACCTCAGCCTTCAAGAAAATATGGGGAAAGTAGTTTGGCAGATATCAAAAATATTTCACCAGTTACTCCAAACCCCGAGTACAAGTTCCATACCCTGTAAGAACAAGCTGTATAAATCTTAGTTCATTAAGCATGTAAGAAATGCATCCTTGTTCTCTATGGGAAACAACTATTTTCCTGCAGTGTGAAAGGCCTTCACTCCCACTTGTTTTAAGAGCGCAGAGCTTTGTGCAACTTCATACAGAACCCATGGAAAAAGCAGTACAATGAATGGCTTAACCAGGATAATTCATGCATCCACACTTCAAGTGTATCTTACACTCAGTGAAAGAACACAGTGCACAGTACTCCTTTCTTATGGTAAGAAACAACTGACTGATGTTTCTTATAGGAGGTTCAAGTGAAACTATGCCATCTGAAAATCTTTTCCTTCCAGTTCCATTGTGACCACATAGCTTTAACTGCCATATGACATAAGAGACACAAATATTAGATTTACACAGTTATGGAACAAATGCATACGCAACACACAAAATACGACTTTCCTTGAGGAAGAACGCAGTCACACACACACACAAATTTGTGTTATTAGCTTTAAAAAAAGTCTTCTGGAGACTATGGGAGATTCTAACGATGTATATGGGGTGAAGAGCACTTTGTTTATATTCTCAGTGCAGCTTCTGTTTTGAGGAATGACTCAATGTAGCCTACAGAAACAGGGCATTAACGTGTCTTTAAAGTGAAACCCTACCTGCTTCAGCCACCTGTGTTAACTTCCATCCATGGAAAGGACACCATGCATAAAAGTTCTTCCTTTAATCCAGCTTGTGAGAAACAACATAATTTATTGAATGGGAACCAACCTTTTCCTTCTCTTTGAAAACTCTCACCCTTATTTTCCCATGGCAGAAAGACCTTCACTCAGCTGGGCACGACACATTGGAAAAGTAGTTTGGCTGGTCTCCTGATATTCCAATAGCTCCTCCAAACCCAGGAGGTAGCTAGCTATGGAACCCTAAGAGGTTCTGCTTTCTTCATTGGACAGTTAGATTTCCACAGCTTTCACAGAGCCCAAGAAACACAGTTCTAGCTGGTCTTATGTGCCATGCCAGTCTGACTCAGTGAGTAAACCTGAGCTTCATGGGGAAAAAAAAAAAACCAAACAGAAAACTGTGCTTAAAGTTCATTCTGTGAACTCATACCTGACATCTCTCTACCTCAAACAGAAACTACACTTTAGATCCAGCCTAAAAACAGTGCAGTTTCCCCCTGAATATTGCTAGGTGTTTGGAAGATTCAAAGTTGCCTTGGCATAACCAGGTCAGTAGAGTGTCTCATTCAGCACATGAAGGACACCCTGCCTGCATAAGTGTATTAATTGAAGGATCTCATTGTGTCCTAGAAGTGTCTTCTCACTGGTCAGAAATTATAAGTAAATATGCTTTATGTCAACTTTGAAATTAAGGCCTGATGGCAAAAGTCATATTCTCCCCTTTTGAAAGCCAGATAGTTCTGACCTCAAAGCTGCCTAGAAAACACTGTTGTAGCCTGTCTTCTATTCACTGCAAGAATACCTCTAAAAAGGCAAGTGAGTTTTCTCCAAAGAAACAGGGAATGTGCAACTCCTAGCTAGGAGCTTATTTCACAGCACTGTAACTAAAGGGTGAGCTAAACGTGACCACTAGTCTCAAAGTCTGGTCCAGGTTTTAGACGTGCAGCAGTTTCTGAGAAGACTCACTCAATCTAATGTAATAACTCTAGTGTGCCTTTCAGGACTTCTTAACTTTCACTACACTTTCATGCACTGGAGAAGGAAATGGCAACCCACTCCAGTATTCTTGCCTGGAGAATCCCAGGGACAGAGGAGCCTGATGGGCTGCTGTCTGTGGGGTCGCACAGAGTTGGACATGACTGAAGCGACTTAGCAGCAGCAGCAGGACTCTTGCATCTGCACCATTTCCCCTGGAAGAAAACTGTTCTGAAAGTCTCTAATGGTGGGAGGTGGGGGGTTTAGGGGGTGGTCCTGAGGAGCATGAATCTATGTTAGCTGTTGGGATCAAGTCTGTGTGTGCAGAGTGAAGAACAACACACTGCTCTCTTCCTTGAATAGCTAGATTTCCACACCCTTCAGACAGCCTCAGGAGCATAGTTGTAGTCAGTCTTTTGTGCAAGGCTAATCTGCTTCAGTGAATAAATCTGAGATGCAGTGTTATGCAAGACAGCACAATAGACACAATAGACACAGATGTAAAGAGCAGACTTTTGGACTCTGTAGGAGAAGGCAATGGTGGGATGATTTAAGAGAATAGCAGTGAAACATGTATGTTACCATATGTAGAATAGATGACCATTGCAAGTTTGATGCATGAAGCAGGGCACTCAAAGCCAGTCTCTGGGACAACCCAGAGGGATGGGAGGGAGGCGGAGGGAGGTTCAGGATGGGGGGACACATGTACACCTGTGGCTGATTCATGTCGATGTATGGCAAAAACCACCACAATATTGTAAAGTAATTAGCCTCCAATTAAATTTAAAAAATAAAGTGAATAAATCAAAAAAGAAAAAAGACATCATGTTTACAATTCATTCTGGAAACATACCTGATGCCTCAAACAGAAGCTAAACATTATATCAAATTTGAAATCAGTGCAGTTTTTCCTGAACATTGCCAGGCATTGGGAAGTTCTAAAGGCACCTAGGCCTAACTAGGGCAGTAAAACTAATGTATGCAATGCACTGTATACAGAACTCCCTGCTTATACAAGTTTATCCTTGAAAGCTCAGAGTGTCCCAGGTGTCCTTTTCGTTGCCCAGACTGCTGATAAATATATTATTTGTCACCTTTGAAATTAAGGCCTGATGGTGAGTAGTATTTGTAGAAAGCCAGATACCTGGGACCTGGTAGGTACCAGACAAAGACTATTGTTGCCTATCTTCTATTCACTGCGGGAATGCCTATGGAAATACAGGTGAGTTTTCTAGAAAAAGAGGGTGTATGCAACTTCTTGCTAGGAGCTCATTTCACAGAACTGTCTGAAAAACAAAAATAAACATGACCACTAGTCTCAAATGATGGTCCAGTTTTTCCCATCAAGATATTTATGGGAAGCAGAATCCATTCCAGATGAAACCTGCTTACCACAAGCACATAGACCTTAGACTGACTGAAGCCAGAAAATTGAAATGTCATCTTGATACCAACCAATCCAGTAATTGTCCATGAGCTGATCATGCCGTGCTCCTTGGACACTATAAAACTCCTCACTACCCCCTTCAGGGTTGGTCACACAGTCCTGAGGGCCTTAACTCACTGCGGTGCTTTTGTCTGGCAAAG